ACTGTCAGGGCTCCAACAAATCCACCCTCATTCAAATCCAAAGTCTCTAGCCGCATCTCAGAGAAAAGTAAATTGGTTTATTGTTGGTGCATGGCTGGGTGCAGCCGACACTAAATGACATCATACATTTCTCCCTTGACCCCGGTCTTTTCCCCACCCCCTAGATGTGACTTCTCCAATGGGGTACATCCATCTCTCATCCATCATGCTCTCCAATAACCTTCTGATGCTCTGACAACTTTGGGCTGTCAAGGTGATTATGTAAGCATTTCAAGAATGCCTTGTTTTCCCCCACTCCCTTTTTCTGGCAGCTAAAAAGACCAAAGGGAGTATCTTTTTAGTTGACAGATACTGTAAAATCCCCATTCCCTCCCCAGCTCCACTAAACTACTTTCCAGCTCCGTTCCCCTGTGCAGGGCAACCAAAGAAGATCCAGCCCATCCGCTGGGACTCACGAGGCAGAGAATAGATGGGGTTGGTGGGGCCAGTCAGAGGTGGGATTTGCCGGTTCTCTGAACTACTCACAATTTCCGCTACTGGTTCTCCAGAACTGGTCAGAACCTGCTGAATACCCACCTCTGCTACAAATGTAAGGGATTGTAGGAAGCTGCGGTAGATAAATCATACCTGGTCATGAGAAAGGACAATCCAAGAATAAAGCATAGAATGTGGAAGGAAACAGTTATCTTGATCAACGAAGTCTAGAAAGCCTTCATAATTCAAGAAACCTGGGATAGAATACTTCCCAGGGATCCACTTGGTATCAACTTAAGACCATTAGAGTAGCTTTTTCAGAATTCCTCCTTGGAGGAAGGATCTTAAAAAAGGTAGAACATCTTTTTCCATCTTCTTTCCTGCTTGAGCAGGGAGTTGGATTGAAGACGCTTGAGGTCCCTTCCAACTGTCATTTTGTTATTGCAAGTAACCTTTACAGCTTCATCTGTGCAGGTTTCTTCTTCCAGAACATAGAATAACAGGGTTAGAAGGGACCTTGGCGGTCTTCTAGTCCAGTGGTCATCTACCAGTGGGCCGCAAGAAAATTTTGGTGGTCCACAGAGAAATGTCGCCCACAAAGCACCCCCCAAAGCAATTAATCCAGGCTGCGTGGGAACAAGGCTGCGCCATCGCACATTGTCTGTGGGATCACAAGGCTTGCGTCCCTTGCATTGCGAACAACATGAAGTAGTGAGGGGAGGGAGGAAAGGGCGGAGAGGGGGAACTTGCCCCACTTACCCCACGTGCCTGGCCTGCTTCTTTCCGCTTCTTTCTTCTTCTGCTTGTGGCTGCATGCAAGGAAAGCAACAAAAGTCTTTCTTTCTCTCCCCCAAACTCTGCCAGAAATGAGTCTTTGGGACCCTGCAAGGACTCCTGCTTCCAGAGGCTTCACCAGCGCGACAAGTCTCACAAAGACTCATTTCTGGCAGAGTTTGGGGGAGAGAAAGAAAGACTTCTGCTGCTTCTGCTGCTTTCCTTGCATGAAGCCAAAAGTCTCTCTCTCCCCCCCTCCCCCGAGAACGGAGCTGGAGACAATATCCTGTGATCCCAAATAAAGAATGATCGATCGGTAGGAAAATGGGTTGGGGAATTTTCCTGCAGACTTTTTATTTTTATTTTCCCAGGGTCCCTGGTCCATAGGATTTAAAATTATGAGTTTGGTGGTCCCTGAGGTCCAAAAGGTTATGACCCCTGTTCTAGTCTATCCCCTGCTTATACCATTTCAAACATGTTTTCCAGTCCAGCCTACATTTTCTACTTTTAATCACAGCCCATCCTTTTTAGCTTCTAAGCACAAAGTCATCCAGCTGTTGCCAAGGCTGAGATAAACATGATTTACTCATTAGGAAATGTTTACTCATGAGGACTAGTGGCTACTCAAGGTGTATCCAAGATGAGCAAACTTTAGCTAAATTGTAGAAGCTCCTTCCTTGATAGTTACACTCAGCATCCACTTCTAACTTTGGGGTGGGGTCCAAGAGCATATTTTTTCTAATTTCATCTTTTTTTCCTTGCTTCCATTGTTAGATGTTGTTTTTAACAGGATTTTTTTTTTCAATTTTAGGTTAATGCCTGCTTTTTTTAAAAACAAAACTATTAGCCATCTTGGGCGTTCTCCAGGACAGAACAGCAGGATATAAATTAAGGCGTTCAATAACTTTCAGAATAAAAAGACCACTACCAGAGATGTGACAGTGATGTACTGCTCCATCAATTTTTACCTCCATGGCAGGTAAAATATTCCAGATTCATGTGAGCATGTAATGAAATCGTTTTGTGACATTTGCACCATGTTATAACGCATGCGATGTCACTATTTTCATTTATTTGTAGCCCACTTCTATTATTTTTACAAATAGCTCAAGGTGCTGAACATATCTAACACACCTTCCACTATGGCTTCTCATGGACTCCTGTGGCCAGATTTAATCTTTACAAGTGACCACTTACTTCAGATATGAGGCTCTCCTGCTGTTCCTGAATACCATCCATTTCGGCTACGTGACCACGATGCTCTTTGGAAGAGATGCATAAGCTATTTTTTGTTCTGACCAAGACTTCCTGAGACCATAATTAAGCACACACTTTGTTAAAACAACTCATTTTATTTCAAGGCTGGGAATTGTGTTCATTCCCAGCCCGTAATGAGTCCCAAATAGTCCCTCGAGATAAACACCCACCTTTCTCTCCTTTGAATTGCTGCCAACAACTAAAGTGCCAAATGAACTATAAAAAACCAACCGAAGTACAAAGTCCACACAGAGCTTCAAGGTTTAATCCGAACAGAGCGAACGACTTTGCTTCCTGCAAAAGTTTCTCTACCTTTGCATGTCCCTTATACCTTATGGGAGGGGCAATCACCTCCAAGCCTTACTCCCGAGTCACCCCTTTTGTTTCAGCTGCTCTTGCCTTCTAGCAGCTCTGTGCATACGCGCACTGGGAATAGGATCCCCTTGTTCCTCAGCCTCGCTGCTGCCAGACTCCGAAAGGCTCTGGAGGCCCCATCCCTCTCCCAGATGGTCCTGGCCCCATCTCTGCATCGGACGCAGGACCCTCGCCCGAGTCCTCTCCAGACTCACGGACTGATCCAGAGGTGGGATTCAAACATTTTTACTACCAGTTCTATGGGTGTGGCTTGGTGGGCGTGGCTTGGTGGGCATGGCAGGGGAAGGTTATTGCAAAATCCCCATTCCCTCCCCACCCCACTAACCTGCTTTCCAGTTCCGTTCTCCTGTGCAGGGCAACAAAAGAAGAATCAGCTGGGACTCAATAGGAGGCAGAGAATAGATGGGGCAGGGCCAGATGTAATACCAGTTATTACATCCTGTGTATGAAAAGTCTATCCTATAGTTGCAAGGCCAACCCACATAGCGGTTCTTAAGGATGGTCCTTCGGGTCTCTCTGCTTCTGGATCAGTGGTGGGATTCAAAAGTTTTTACTACTGGTTCTGTGACCGTGGCATGACGTGGCTTGGTGGGCATGGCGTGGCTTGGTGGGCATTGCAAGGGAAGGATCCTGCAAAATCCCCCTTCCCTCCCCACCCCACTAACCTGCTTTTCAGCTCCGTTCTCCTTTGCAGGGCAACCAAAGACGACCCAGCCAATCAGCTGGGACTCGAGAGGCGGAGAATTGATGGGGGTGTGGCCAATCAGAGGTGGTGTTTGCCGGTTCTCCGAACTATTCAAAATTCCCACTACCGGTTCTCCAGAACTGGTCCGAACCTGCTGAATACCACCTCTGGACTGATCCCCGTTCTTCCCCACTGTCCGATTCTGCTGCTGTCTGCACAGGCTGCTGGTGAACCACAACATTTTCAAAGGAATGTTTTCTCAGAATTAACTGTCCTAAAGATGCTCTTTTTTTCCAGGTGGCAACTGGACTTCCTTGTTTTTTTTCCTTTGAAGAAGTTCCACTTCTCGTTTGTTATTGAGGGTATACTCAGAAGTGAAAAAAAGAAAAGAAAAAAGGAAGCCCAGTTGCCTCCTGAAAAAAAAAAAAGAGCCACTGGGACAACCATGATCTTGATGACTGAGAATCTCTAGACTCCGAACGACTAATTTAATGTTTCCCTTGGCTCTATAATCTGCAAGGGACACACACGGATGACCAAGCCATGGTTTTATCATTGTTTATCAAATGAATTGGTAAAGCATAAACCAGGGGTGTCCAACCTTGGCAACTTTAAGACTTGTGGACTTCAACTCAGCAAAGCTGGCTGAGGAATTCTGGGAGTTGAAGTCCACAAGTCTTAAAGTTGCCAAGGTTGGACACCCCTGGCATAAACCATGGTTAATCAACAGCAATGGCTGGGCTCCCGAATTATGTTGAGCCCAAACCAAGCATCAGAGAGGTCTGCAGAAGAATAAAGGAAATTAAGATGGCAGCCAGAAGGTAACTGAAGTCACATGTACCAGTAGTTCCCGACTGATGACCCCAATTGAGCCTGAAATTCCCTTGGCGAAGCAAGACAGTTAAGTCAGTGTTACCCCATTATACGACCTCTCTCGCCATGGGAGTTAAGGGAATCACTGCAGTCGTTAAATGGAATCATTTAAGTCATTAAGCGAATCTGGCTTCCCCCATTGACTCTGCTTGTGGACATTCACCTGGGAAGGAGGTTACAAATGGAGATCACATGACCCCAGGACAGTGCTATTGTTATACCTGCCATTGCCAGAATTTTGATCATGTGACCATGGGCTCTGAAGCGTGAACGCTGATCATAATTCACTTTTTTTCAGTGCCGTTGTAACTTTGAACAGTCACTAAATCAGAGGTCTCCAAACTTGGCAACTTTCAGACTTGTGGACTTCAACTCCCAGAATTCTATGCTGGCTGGAGAATTCTTGGAGTTGAAGTCTACAAGTCTTAAAGTCGCCAAGTTTGGGGACTCCTGCACTAAATGAATGGATGCAAGTGAAGGACTACCTGGGATGGATTGGGATTTTAATCATGTTCTTATTTTTTTTCCCCCACACACTCCCCCAGTCAAAGAAACCAAACTGCGGCCTGAGATTATATTCCATTCACCTTTGCTCTACTTTTACTACTCTGAAAACAGACCTGTTCCACTTGACAAAGATCCATACCCAGCCTCTCTTATTACAAAGGTTTATTTCTTTTTATGTACAGTATTTTTTTTTAAAAAAACAACATTTTATATATAGCATAGAAAGGGGCAGCTCCTAGGCATCTGAACAACAATTTTAAAAAAAATCTCTGGACAGGGCATGTTTATTTAACCATATGCTTTGCAGGTTTGTGCATGCTCAATATCCATAGATTTCTCTTCCAAACAATGGCACTTGAACAACCCATTCGAAGCTGGGCTGGGTTGCTTCTGAACATTGTCTACTATAAATCATCAGTGGTTACCCCCAAAGATTCTGCCCCTCCCTTTCTCATCCTGGGCTTGTCTGCCCACATCTCCCGGGTCTGCTGGCATGGAATTTGTCTACCTGTCCTATCAATGAATCAACCTTTTTTCAAAGGGCTTTTAAAAAACAGGGTGTGTGTGTGGGTGGGTGGAATGTAAATTACTACATTTCCAGGATAGGAAGCTTAACATGATAGCTCCCCAGAAGTGCAGGAGCTTAGATAGTACTGATGTCTCAAGAACCACAAAGGACTCTACAAAGAAAATCATGGTCCTCAAGCAAAGAGAATATGGTTAGTGGGATGGACTTTGCTTGCTTCACTGGAAGGACCCCACTGAATGGAAGCCCGTGGCAAGGAAAGGATACGGACCTCCAACTCATTTACTTGCTTCCTCATTGTCAGTGAACTCATCCTTCCCTCTGCCAAACTACATCATTTCAGTTCCCAGAACCCTACGTTGATTTAATCGTAAATCTCAAGGTTGAGAGAAGGTTGGAGAAACCCAAATAAGTTGCGTATATTCTAGTGGCGTTGCTCTTCAGCATCATGGGCAGCAGATGGCACCCTTGGGCAGCTGCCAACCTTCTCTTGGTCTAAAGGAGGGCTGTCCAACCTTGGCAACTTTAAGACCTGTGAACTTCAACTCCCAGCATTGCTGGCTGGGGAATTCTGGGAGCTGAAGTCCACACAAGTCTTAAAAGTTGCCAATGCATGCTGAGGTTGGACATCCCTCGTCTGAAAAGTCCCATGGTGGACCCTCTCATCACAAACTGCTTGTCATTTGCTTAGCAATTTATTTATTTATTTTTTTGCTTCTTGTTATTTTGCTGAGGTGCTAAGGAATAGCTCCTGCTGCCTGTGTTCCCTCTGCTTTTTCTCCGACCCCCGTCCATCCCTAATAAGCCATACAGTGACGATCCGTCCAGAACCATGATTGAAATAAGCAGTGAAGATTATTTCTCAGTAAATCTGCATAGCTTTACTATCAGCCCAGTGCAATGTGATAGTTCAGTTGTTTCAGCAATTTCCAGTGTCTTGGCTGTATTTCAAATTACAGGGAGAGATGGAAATGAAAGGAAACTCATTTTTTCACCCCCCTGGTTCTATGGCAGTCTTCACTGCAGCTGTTTTTAGACATCTACAACACTTATCTTCTATGTTTCCACTGAAACACTTCTTAGGACAGTTTGGAGAACCAGTGGCTCTCCAGATGTTCCTGGACTCCAACTTTCAGTGGTCCCAACTAACAGGGATCAAGGGTGATGGAATTTTAATGCAACCCTACTTGGCAGGCCACGCTCCAATATTCTTTGATTGGTATTGAAATCACCGCTTCCCTCCCCAAATTATGGATAGGGTCCTATGAATGAGCTGTGGCAGATTCCTCAACATGCCTGCCAGGGTTCAAGATTAGAGGATTCTTGTGCAGAGGGAGAAAAAAGATTGTGGGTGAATAGCTGGGATATGGATACCAGGGAAGGCAGCTGTTTCCTCCAAATTTGCTAGGGCTGTTAATTGCTGGCTAGGAATTTTGGACACTGCAGTCCCAGCACATCTGGCAAGGAACATTTGGAACGGCTTCCAGTTGACAAGCAAAAATCATTAATTTTCAAGGGATGGTGCACAAGCCCCCATCTGGTAAGGCGCGTCATCTTATTGTCAGAAGGCACCATGTGGCTATGGAACAGACACTTCACAGTTCCACAGTAATCAGCTCAGACACTCTCTCCTTCTGTAAACAGCCTCCAGAGCCATTTTGGCACACACCTTTCCTTTACGTTGTCGTAGACAACCCTGTCTGCTTCCCTTACGCACCAGCGAATTAGGGCTGTGTCCCGACCCATCTCCTTTCTTGAAGTGCAGCCCCCAGGGTATCATTTCAGAGCTAAGCTGACCCTCTCGAGAAAAAGGCTGACATTGATTGATCAACCTAGTATCATGGATTCTTCCCACATTCATTCTCCTATCATAGTTGTTAACTCAAAAGCTTTCAGACATGATATCCAGATAGTACCAAGTCACAAATTCAGAGCATGAGGGCCAATGAGGAAGGAAAAGAAAAATTGGGCCCATTGTCCATATTATGGCCACGTCGCAGAATGGGAAGGAAAGAAATCCAGATCTTGCAGGACTTAAAACGTGCTTATCAAACCCAGATTTTTTTGGCCAATGGCCTAAGGACAGTCGGGAGTTCCGCCGCAACTGGAACCCATCATATCTGATGCCATGAGACTACAACTCTCAGAATTCCCAGCCAGCGTAGCCCTTGCAAGCTGGTGAATTCTGAGAGATGCAGTCACAATATATCTGGAGAACACTGGCTGCAGTTAACTTCATTGTGCAAATTTCTTCATGCTGTGGCCCTGTAGCCCTCCTGTCTTTATCCTTGGAGGCTGCATCAGGGTTAGGGAAAAGGTGCATTCAAACATTTGGGGCTACAACCTCCCCCCCAGTCCCTTGTTGTGGGCTGGAACCAATCGGGCCGAAGTACGAAGGCTCTTCAGAGAACCCCAGGGGAACTTTTAAGGGCCAAAGGTTCTCCAGTTATCACAGAAGTAACTTAATTAAGAGAGGATGGACTATTAAAACAAACAAAACCTCTCCTCTGGCCATCTACACCCTCAACTCCTCATCATCTCCATCTTTTTTTAAAAAAAATCTCCAAAAACTAACCTGGCATCTATTTGGGATGAGTCAGAATTTTAAAACACAAAACCACAATGATAAAAAAAGCAAGGTCACTCCCCGCCCCCCAAAGGAATAAAATTAAAATGAAAAAGAAAGGAGTTCTAAGCCCAGTTCTACAAGGTGGGACCCTCAGTCCCTGGCCCTGGAGAGGGAAGAGATTTCTGCTGTGTGTCCCAGCTTCCCACCACACTCGTGGGAGGTCCCCCACCCGTGAGGGCAGGGGGAGCTCTCCGTGGTCACCATCCATCGGTTACAGTTGGTTGTCTCCTGGCTGATACTGAGGCTCTGTAGCAGTGAAGTAGTCTTCTAGAAATGACTGGAGGTATTCAAAAGTGTGGCGCTCCTCAGGCTCCTTCCTCCAGCACTGCACCATCAGATCGTGCAGCGATGGAGGGCAATTCCCAGGACAGGGCATGCGGTAACCCCGTTCCACTTGTTCCAACACCTCTCGGTTGTTCATGCCTGCACGAGAAGAACACGACAAGGTCAAGACTTGACGGTGGGAGGGCCCTATTGTGAGTCTCTAGGAATCCAGGGAGCGCTAGTTTGGGATGGTGGTTAAAGCAGCAGCCTAGAAACCGGGAGACCATGAGCACTACCTTCCATCTTAGGTATGAAGCCAGCTTTGGGCTAATCGTTCCCACTCAGCCCTAAGAGGTGAACAAGGGTACATCAATTTTGAAATTGTCGCCAAGGCACAGAAACTCGTAGATTGGCATACGAAATTAAAATCAAGGAAAGGACCTGTCGTGCCCCTGTCGGAGTCTGAGGAGGAAGACGAACAGTTGACAGGGAGTGTGGCTTCGTTGGCTGTGGAGGAAACCAGGGAAGGGCAAAGTCTGGCTGGGCAGAGCAGGGGAGAGGTAGAACAAGGGAGAGGGAGTTCAGAGGAAGACCCAGGCCCACCCCCTCTTCATCCTAGGGCACGCAGGGAGGAATGGAGAAGAGAGCAATATGGGTTGCATGGCTTACGGGGGAAGAAAGGGCACTGATTCCCTTCATTAGCCAAACCTGGGAAGAGAGTTTAAAAGAAATGCATGCTGAATGCGGCAGCTGTTGGGAGCAAACGTGAATTTATCTTGTGTTGACTTTGCTTATCTGTGTTCCCAGCGTCTTCCCAACCGTGATGAGTTATTGCCGTGCCTTCATGTCTGGAATTCTTCCTTCTGGCCTGTTGGACTATTTACCTCATTTTGCCTTGATTAGACTTATAATTACAGTTTTTGTTGACCACGTTTTGGAGTTGATTTTCTGCAGCCAAAGGCTGTTCCTGGGAGAGTTTTTCTCCAGCAAGAAGGTAACCAGGACATTGGGGGCAAAGTTGGAGCTAATAAAGGGACTCCTACTGATTATCTGACTGTGTTGCCTTTGTGCCACACCCTGGGTCATAACAGGACCAGTGTGCACAAATTCACAGGCACTGCAAACAGATTAAATACCACAGGGACATAATCCTCCGCAAAATTTGGTAAGTCAAGTTACATCAAAACGACAGGATCAGGATCAGAGCAGGGTTGGCACAACACACAAGCATGCAAAGTATGTGGTCCCCAGACCCCAACAGAATAGGGGTCTAAAATTTGGCCTTTGGGAGGGATTTTCCCAGAGTTCGTGAAGTTCTGAGAGGCAAAAAATATGAGCTTTCAAGAGCCACTTTATCTCTTCTTTAGCCTCCCAACCACTTCTTCACACAAATCAGGTCAACTCTGAATCTGGGCCCCAATGACTTTAGGAATACACTCCTCAATCGGCCGCATGAATTCTGGGGTGGCCTTCAAGGCTGTAGAAATTGCTTGGTCATCAGCTGAACCAGGAGCTGATTCCTCAGTGTTTATCCAATAAATAACGGCAGATTAGACTCAGATAATACCTCATACAAGAAGCTAAAAGCTGGTAAAATTGCAGCAAATGCAATCACTGGATGTTGAACCCAACCCAACCCAACCCAATGATGTTATGGTTTAATGGATTACGCAAATCAAAGAGCAATTCTATTTGAAAAGAAGGTTTCTGGCATCAGTAAATATTGCCACAGTTCATCTCTAGGCTAAAGGAAGCCTCTGCCACCTCACCTGGGTATGGCACTCGACCCTTGGTCACAAGTTCTGTCAGGAGGATGCCGAAGGACCACACGTCTGACTTGATGGTGAACTTGCCATAGAGAGCGGCTTCTGGAGCTGTCCACTTAATGGGAAATTTGGCACCTGTTGGCAAGGAGGTGGAATTAAGTGGTTAAGATCGTACAGAAGGAGATGCCACCTGGGTGAGAAAGGCTCCTACTTTCTCCACGGTGGGAGAAACATCACTAGTGAATTTAAAATGGACTTCTTAGCACAGATCATACCAGCCTCCCCAGCCAGGGGTGGAATTCTACCGGTTTGGACCGGTTCAGGTGAGCTGGATGTTAAATTTACACCTGGTTCACCGAACCAATAGTTGAACCGACTGGCTGGCCCCACCCACCCTGCCCCTCCCAGGAGTCTCCATGTGGCCCGTTTTAGATGCAGGTAAGTGTAAGGTCCGCGCGGAGCTCTGGGAGGGCGAAAAACGGGCCATTCCGGAAGTTCCGGAAGTCCAGAAACAGGCCTATTTCCGGCTTCCAGAAGCCCTCTGGATCCCGGAGGCGGCCATTTTCACCCTCCCAGAGACCTGAGGGAAGCCTCCGGACGTTGGGGAAGGTGAACAATGGCCAAACCGGAAGTTCTGGTAGGCCACGCCCACCATGGCCACGCCCATTCAGCAACCGGGCAGAGAACCGGTTGCTGGGATTTTTGAATCCCACCCCTATCCTCACCCCTCAAGAAACAGAGTCAGCGAAGAGAAAGTGTTCTTAATTTATGTTGTCAGAAGCCTCAAGCAGCAATCTGGACAATCAAGGAACCAGTCCCTCTGACCAGGAAGCCTTGGAAGGGGAAAGGCTAAGGTGGCAGCGCAAACACGCCAACCACTGTTTTTGCTTCTGAATGTGAACTTCCTGTACAAACAATTCAGAAAATAACTTTTCTGCCAAGTTAACAGCCCTTGTGAGAGAAAAATCACTAAAAAAAAATCATCTGTAATTGGAAGCTCTTTGTGGACTTTTTTGTTGTTTTTTTGCAGGAGATGGAGAAAAATAAATTTTTGCCATATGGATTTGATGATTGTTAAAATTTAAAAAGAGAAAAAAAATTTAATTTCCCCTTTTCTTTTTTGGGGAAAAAATATAAAGTGTCCATTTTTCCCCCAAAAGAAAAGAGGAAATTAATAAATTTAAGAGTCAAAAAGTAATAATTCTCTATATCAATGGAAGAAGTCCGAAGTTATTCTTTTTATATGTGTTTCTTGTCCTTTTAAAATACTTCCCCACACTTCTACCCCTACTCTCTTTTTACTCTATCGTTTCTTTGGATTGCTAATTTACGTTGTTTTTTATAGGTATGTTTTGTAAAATGTAACAGCCATCTGGACTCTGAGAATCCAGTTTCACGTGGCTGACATTGGGCTCTAGGCTGAAGTTCAGCCACATCCTTCCAGATGTTAATGACCTTTGTGACATGGTCCACTTTGGAAGTATTACTGATTTTCCAGTTCTAGATTCGCTCCTCCTACTGCAAACTTCAGACTGCATCTAGAATATTTTATCCAATTCTGAGGCACCACACTGCAGGAAGGATCTAGATATGTTTTAACAAGGGCTTCTGAAGGTCATTTGGTTGCCAGGGGGAGCATTGTACAGATGCCATTGCTCAGTGAAATTGTTTGCCTTTGTAAGAGAAGGGCAGGCACAGCCGTGAGGCGGAGTCAAGAGAGCGATCAGCCTAGAATTGTTCTGTTCTCACAGTCTAAGCCCAACCCCTCTCGAGTTCCATTGACTCTTATCTGGTGCAAATTTAATGCTGGCCATTTGTTAACTAGATCCCTGTGTATAGGAGTGAGCCATGAATAAGATTAACTGGAGCTTAACAAGTAGTCTGGCTTCTTTGTGCCTGACAGCCTTGCACAAAGAAATCCGCAGCCCCAGTGTGGCACCTCCTGCTAAAACGGCACCAAGAAAAGCTCCCTCTTCCCCAGAGCAGAGACAGCAGCTGCCAATCAATGGTTAATTGCACAAATAGCTTCGCCCGCTTAAAGGTGACTCTTTCTCCTGCTCCGGGGTGCCCCTGAGAGTTTTACCTTGGCGAGCTGTGTATTCATTGTCTTCAATGAGGCGGGCGAGGCCAAAGTCAGCAATTTTGCACACAAGGTTGTCGCCCACAAGGATGTTGGCAGCACGCAGATCCCGGTGGATGTAATTCATTCGCTCAATGTAAGCCATTCCAGCTGCAATCTAGATTGTGTGCAGAAGCAGAAAGGCAGGGATGAGATCACACGGGGGGAGTTAATCATTGCCAGCCTCCTCCTGTTCTCAATAGATCCTGGGCAGCTTTCGCTCCCCTCCCCTCCCCCCGCCTCTCCAACAGAGTCAGAAAACGATGCTCCCTGTTTTCAGACAGACTGGCCACTGAGGCTGGCCTCCTCCTGCCCACCGGGTTACCTGTGCTGCCATGTCCACCAGTTGGGGCAACTTCAAGAAACGGCCGTCCCCGTCTTTCAAAAAATCTAGCAAGCTACCTGTAGAAGAGAAAAGGTGGGGAGATCAACAGGGCCACTTCTTGGTGGGATCCTTGCACTACTGTGTTCACCTGAAAATAAGACCTATCTTGAAAATAAGCCCTACGGTGGTTTTTTTTTGCGTGCACCATGTAAGCCTTATCCCCAAAATAAGCCCTACTACTCAAGCACTTGTGGCCACCTGCCCATTCTATTTGGTTGCTTGTGGTGCTGTGGCCATGAGGTGAGGTGGGAGGGTGAAGTTGCCCCACGCGCCCAAGGCCCCTGCATGTAGGCCATCCATGCCCCAACTCCTGTCTTGCCTTGTGTGGCTGCAACGCAGCAGGAGGCCAAGTGATGCACTGGGGCTACAGCAATGAGGCAGGTGCCGGGGCATCAGTGGCCTGGCTGCAGGGGCCCTGACTATGGGACATGTGAGGCAGCTCCACTCCCCCACCTCGCCTCGTGGCTGTGGCATTAACACATCACTCAGCCTCTGGCTCCATTGTAGCCACACAAGCAAGCAGATGATGTGGGCCGGAAGACACACAGAGGTCTTGCTGGGTGGGGCTGCTAGACCCACTGCCGCAAGGCGAGGCAAATGTCATCTATGGCCTGGCTGCAGGAGTCCTAAGGTAAGCCAGTGCAGGGTCCATGGGGCAGCTCCACCCCCCACCTCACAGCAATGGCACTAGCATGCTGTGTGGCCTCCTCCCTCACCATGAGCAAGCAGAAGAAGTGGGCCTCCCCTATATTCTTAAAGTACATGGTGAAAAAATAAGACATCCCCTGAAAATAAGCCCCTTAGTGTTTATTTTGGAGCCCAAAAGAAAATAAGACCAGGTCTTATTTTGGGGGAAACATGGATATAATACACTTGCAGCAGCGGTCTATTGGCTGCTTACTCCTGTTCCTGTCTGTTCTTCTTAAAACAAATTATTTGTGAAGGATATGGGATCTGTGCATCTGAAACAAAACAATGGAAATCCATTCCCCAGCTCTCTAAATGCATCAGGACTACAGTTCCCATCAAGCCCTGCTCCAGAAGTTTAGTAACACTGGATGGTACCAGGTGAAGCTTGCCAAAATGGCTGGTGTGATGAACATGGAGGCCACTAAAACCTGAAATTCAACAGCTGGATCTGCTCTTCAGCGCCCTGAATTTGCCCTTCCTGCCTGGGATGGCTACTTTAGGAAGGGGAGGCAGAAGGAAGGAGAGGGCTTAATGGCCCAGTGCCTGCATAAGCATGAAACTGGAGCACAAACTGTTTTTACGATCCTAAAATTTCCATGGGACCGACGTTGAAAGAAGGATGCTGCGTGTTCCTTTGCAGGATGCCAGGTTCCCATTCAATTGTAACAAAAAGAAATTCATTATTTTAAGGCACCTGATAGAAGATGAAAGGGATACCTGTAAGCAACCTGAGGCTCATAGATACCATGCTACCTATGTTGTATCACTTTCCCTTTCTTGAGACAGGAACATACCAGTCTATCTTGGATAGGGTAATCTCAGAGGAGAAAGTGGTTCATGGCTCTCCCCCATGTTCCTGCTGTCTCCATCACTCATTGATAACACAATATTCCTAACAGGTGCTCTTCCATCCGGGTTAGTGGGTGGGTTCTAGATCTGCTTGATGTCAGCGGACCTACACATGGCCTTCATTCTGAGTCAAACGTCTGAACCCTGGGCATCTTTCTGATCCTAACCCCGCGAGCTCAGGTGTCAGTTTGGTAGCCCTGGGTGGATATTCAATTTGGAGGCAATTCAGTCCTTTATCTTGAATCAAGTCTCCCTAAATTGACTCTCATGTGGACAACTGTCTTCGCTGAATATGCCCAAGCCCTTTCAGCGTCTGAGAAGAAGGTGCTCGATTCGGACGATTTGGAGCACACAAATTCAAGCCATTAGGATCAAAATTTCCAAAGTGACTCAAACCTACTCGATGGTTCAATTGAATCAACAGCTCCTACTTCGCCCAATCCACAAGGGCCTGCTGGTTGGCCCCTTTGCCACCCACCCATCTAGAGGGGAGGGGGGGTGTCACCGGAGGCAGCTTATCTAACCTTGGGTCATGAACTCAGTAACAATGTAAATGGGCTCTTCTGACACCACAGCATACAGTTGCACCAGTTTGTCATGCCGTAAGCGCTTCATGATCTGGGCTTCCTCCAGGAAAGCTTCTGGAGACATGGTTCCAGGTTTCAGCGTCTTCACTGCCACTTTGGTGGTGCCATTCCAAGTGCCTGCAACCAGCAAGGACCAGGGGTCAGGGTCAACAAGGATAAAGACAGTAGGGTCCCAGACCCCGAGGCCCCCCTCACCCCAAGAAGTCCAAGTTCAGCGTCCTCCAACTCGGTGTCCTCCAGATGCATTGGGATGCCAATCCCTAAAACAGAGCTCCCCAAACTTGGCAACTTTAAGACTTGTGGACTTCAACTTGAAGTTGACTTCAACTTGAGTTGAAGTCCACAAGTCTTAAAGTTGTCAAGTTTGGAAGACCTCTGTCCTAGAATATCTAGCCAGCAGGTCTAAGCTGGGTCTTGGAATTCCCACCAATCATCTGAGGAAGCACAGAGTTAGGGACAGCTGACCCGAACAACTGAAATGAGATGAACGACAACAAAAATGAGATGAGGAAGGAAAGATGATGGGACAGGAATGCCTCCACACTAAGGACTTCAATTCAGAAGAAGTCATTTCCCATAGCTGACATTTTCCTGGCTATGTGGTGGCCGAGGGGTGAAGACGCTCGCCTCCCACTTGGAAGGTTGAGAGTTCAATCCGAAGTAGCAGCGGAGATTTCTCTCCTGGAGTGCAAAGGGAAAAAAAAAACTGCTGAGAACTCCTCGTGGTGTCAGGAAGGGCATTCATGCTCAGCTTCATATCCAGTTGTCCTGACTATAGGTAGTCCTTGAGTTATGACCACAACTGAGCCCCAAATTTCTGTTGCTAAGTGAAACACTTAAGTGAATTTGCTCCATTTTATTACTTTTCTTGCCATAATTGTTAAGTGAATCATTCCATTAGTTAAGTTATAATACAGTTGTTAAGTGAATCTGGCATCCCCATTGACTTTGCTTGTCAAGAAAGTCGCAAAAGGTTGGATCATGTGACCCTGGGATTCTGCAACCTTCATATATGCCACTTGCCAAGCATTTTCATTTTGATCACATGGCCATGAAGATGCTGCGTAGATTGTAACGGTGAAAAACAGTCGTAAGTTACTTTCTTCAGTGCTGTTGTAACTTTGAACAGTCACTAAATGAACGGTTGTAAGTCGAGGACCATCTATATACTCTGAATTAAAGGATTACAGGCTTGTACAAAGAGAGTTTATGTGCATCCTTCTTAAGGTTCAGTTTCCAAATTGGTCTTCTTCTAGCAGGAGCTACTCTATGGGTTGACTCCTTTTTAACAGATGCAACAATTGTGCAGTTGTACAGACAACTCTCAACTTAACAACCTTTCATTTAGCAACTGTTCGAAGTTGCAATGGCGCTGAAAAAAAAGTGACTCAGGACCAGTTCTTGCACTGATGACTGTCACACCATCGTGGTCATGTGATCCAAATTAGGGTGCTTGGCAACAAGCATATATTTACAATGTTAATAGCAATAGCAATAGCACTTAGACTTATATGTTGCTTCACAGTGTTTTATGCCCCTCTCTAAGCAGTTTACAGAGTCAGCGTATTTGCCCCCAACAATCTGGGTCCTTACCTCGGAAGGATGGGAGGCTGAGTCAACCTTGAGCCTGGTGAGATTCAAACTGACCAATTGCAGGCAGCCAGCAGTCAGCAGAAGGAGGCTGCAGTACTGCACTCTAACCACTGCACCACCGTGGCTCATTAAAGCATCTTGGAGTGATATAATCACAATTTGGGACTTTCCCAGATGGCTTCTAACAAGCCAAGTCAATGGGAAAAGCCAGATTTGCTTAACAACTGCAGTTATTCGGTTAACAACCAAGGCAAAAAAAGGCCCTAACTCACTTAACAACTGCCTTGCTTAGCAACAGAAATGCCAATCCCATTTGTGGTCATAAGTCAAGAATTTACCTGTATGTAGGATACCTCATGTTAACTAACACCAAATAACTCATTCTCTAACTGTGGATCTTAGTAGACCTGAATCCTTATTATTAGGGGAGGAAATGTAAAAGTAGCGGGGGAAATAGAAATGTATGTCATGGAAATTGGCACAGCTGATTGGCTGGTACCTGGACTAGGAAATTCTGCCCTGCAGTATTTCCTATAGGTCTTGCACTTTCAGTCTATGGGAAAGGAATATATGCCATCTCTGATGGGAATAAAGATACGTTCATTAAGTCCAATGATAGCCACATGCTCTGGAGAAAAGATGTGGTTGCATTAAAGAGTTTCAGGTGGCGGTTACACTTCTGCAAGCTCTAATGTAGGGGTCCCCAATCCTCGGTCCATAGACCAGCACTGGGCCACAGCACGCCACAGACCGGGCTGTGCAAACAGGCGAAGCCCCATCCGTGGGATGCAGGCAGTACATGAAACCACGCCCACTCTGGTGCGTGGAAAAACTTCTCTCCGTGGAAGCGGTCCCTGGTGCCTGAAAGATTGGGGGCTGCTGCTCTAAAGCACCTTCTTGGAACTGAATCCAATGTGCTACACAGCCCTAGTGCGATCCCCTACACGAAACAGAGGGGTAAAGATTTATATTCTGATGCAGTGGTGGGATTATTTTTCTTTTACTACCGGTTCTGTGGGCGTGGCTTGGTGGGTGTGGCAGGGGAAGGATATTGTAAAATCTTCATTCCCTCCCCACCCCGCTAACCTGCTTTCCAGCTCTGTTCTCCTGTGCAGGGCAACAAAGGAAGACCCCGCCAATCAGCTGGGACTCAGAAGGCAGAGAACAGATGGGGGCAGGGCCAGTCAGAGGGGGTATTTGCCAGTTCTCCAAACTACTCAAAATGTCCGCTTACCGGTTCTCCAGAACCAGTCAGAACCTGCTGAATACCACCTCTGCTCCCCACCCCACTAACCTGCTTTCCAGCTCCGTTCTCCTGTGCAGGGCAACCAAAGAAGATCCAGCCAATCAGCTGGGACTCGGGAGGCAGAGAATAGATGGGGGCGGGGCCAGTCAGAGGTGGGTTTTGCCGGTTCTCCGAACTACTCAAAATTTCTGCTACCGGTTCTCCAGAACTGGTTGGAACCTGCTGAATACCAAACCTCTAATCTAGAGGTTTCCAACCTTAGCAACTTTAAGACCTGTGGACTTCAACTCTCAAAGCTGGCTGAGGAATTCTGGGAGTTGAAGTCCACAAGTCTTAAAGTTGCTAAGGTTAGAGACCCCTGGTCTAAGCAATTATCTTCAAGCATAGCCTGAACCTAAAAAGAGCCCTTCTCCACCTCGTCCAGGTGTGCCCTCTAAAAAAATCAAAAGCAAACCCTGACCCCCCTCGCCTTACCCATCCACACATCTCCGAAACAGCCCATGCCAAGCTTCTTGTCGAAGTGGATGGACTCCCGCACGATCTCCCACGCATCTCTAGACAGTCCCATAGTCTGAGGCCTCAGGGTGGGGCAGACTTTGGTTAGGAGGTAGCAGAGACCGTCATTGAGTTCTGTAAAGGGGGGGATGGGGTGGGTGTGGAATGAGGGAGGGTGGACAGGTGGGATGGAGTGAGATGGGAAAGCAGAATGATGAACGGAGCATGCACCCGGAAGAGGAGGCTGGACTTTGGAGAGGAGGATGAGAAGGAGCAAGAACACGGGGAGCAATATTGCTTTCGACCACCAGTTGGCGCCCTTGGCTTACTTTTAAAGCATCGAGTACCACACCGCATTCCTGCATCTTCACTGCAAATGTCGAGCAGGGAATTTGGGGCATGCAGCTAAAGTCTCCACTCCTGTATCCTTTTGGATTCAACTACTGAAGTCAAATGCAGGCTATTTTCCAAATCCTGTTCAAAATATGGACCTAACATGGTAGCGTTAAAGTATCTGAGGCAAAATGCCCTTTGGTCAAGGACCAGTCACTACTTTAACTGAAGATCCCCAGGCATCGTCTGGATCACTTCCACATTGTCTTCCAAGACTTTTAAGGAGACTTCAGACCAAACCCCTATCGAATCCTGCATTCTCTTCTTACTGGAGAAGCCATCCAGATGCCATGGGTTGAGGAACCCACAAAGAGCAGCACATGGTTATAATAATGCTCTCCCTTCCGGTAATCAGACACATATGTACTCTCCCCCCGTGCTGGAGCTTAAAATGAGACTCGGGATCCCTAAACACCGTTCAGCTCTTTCCATGGTGGATTTATCTTAACTCTCTTTGAAAGGCTGCCAAGTTGGCAAGCATCCTTACCTCTTGTGGCAGCGAGTTCCGTTGTTTAACTACCTATTGTTTGGAGGACTTCCTGTCATTCATCCTGCAGTTTTCCCCCCAGTCCATCTGCCCAATGATTTTGCCGTCATAGTGAAAGAAACACAGCCATCATGGGAGAAAAACTGAAGGAGGTGGACTTTCTCCATCCTTGCCAACAACCCTCCTCCTGAGTGCCAGGCACCTGCCCGGCTCCTCCTTCTCTTCCTCCTCTCTTCCACCCAGCCTCCCGTTGGCTGGTCGTACCCATCCACACTTCCCCAAATTGCCCATTGCCCAGTTTCTTGATGAGCTGCAACGACTCGCGAGGAATCTCCCAGACGTCTTTGGTTTTGACGGACAGGTCTGCCAGTTTGGGCATCCCCTTAGGGCACGGCACGGCTAGGCGGCAGCACAATCCTGCAGCTCTCTCTTGCAAAAGAAGCCCCCAAAACCGAAGGGGGAGGGGGCAGAAAAGCAAGAGACGCATCATGGAAGCAGGGAGGCAAAAGAGAGAGAGAAAGAAAGGGTGATAAGAGGAGGGCAAACTGGAAAGGAACAAGAGGCAAACACTGTTCCACTCAGTCTGCAGCCCAGAGAGAGCAATCAGTCCTTTGCAGAAGGCGGCAGGGGACTGGAGCCTCACTACACACCTGTTGAAAGGTTGATAAAACAGCTGCAGTTATTCGGTTTCTCATTTCCACCACCCCCTTCCCAGTTCTAGGAAAGTCACAGCAAAAGCAATCATCACTTATATACGTATAGCACTTATATACCGTTTCAGAGTGCTCTACAGCAGAGGTCTCCAACCTTGGCAACTTTAAGACCTGTGGACTTCAACTCCCTAAAGTTGCCAAGGTTGGAGACCTCTGCTCTACAGCCCTCTTCTAAGCGATTTACAGAGTCAGCATATTAACCCCAATATTTCGGGTCCTCATTTTACCGATCTTGGAAGGATGGAAAGCTTAAGCCAGTCAGGATCAAACTCCTGGCAGTGGGCAGAGTTTGCCTGCAATACTGCATTCTAACCACTGCACCGCCATGGCTCAGATAAAATTGTGGAATAGGAAGGGCCCTTAAAAGTTAGGTAGTGCACCAGATGGACAGTGCAGGGCTCACCACCGCACCTCGGATAGACAATCTCCAGAAAGATTATTTTGCGTTAAAACATGTTTGTGGGAAATGAGTGATGGAGCCATAATGGAGAGTTGAGGAAAGTTGTGGTTTGCTAACCATTCTAATCAAAGTGGCTAGCAGAGCCACTTTGTGCTAAACCCTCTTTTGGAGAAGGGATCAAAAATCTGTTGCTGTTTCACTGCACAACAGAAACTCTGGAGAATGTCTCAATTATCCTCACTTTGGCTAAACACTAAATGCTGACGCCTGGTTTTTAGTTGAGCCTGCTACCTTGTCTGGCACCTTTTCATTCCACTTGCCGATAATTATTCCCCATCTTCACTTCCCCTTTGGAAAGGAAAATAGGAGAGAAACCAGAAAACAGGGAGTTTTCAACGCAGTGCCAAAATGGGGAGTTTGACCTTTGCAAGTCCCTGCATGAAAAATTCAGGAGCAGATGTCACAGCTGGTAGCCTTGGATATTTTGGAAGAGACACCCATCAGATACGGCTTTGCCCCTCTTTGTTTTTATTTGAGAGCCATGATTTGTTACAGGTAGTCCTTGACATAGGGTGACAATTGGGGCTGGAATTTCCACCTCTAAGTGATGCAATCATAAAGTGTGGATGCATTGCTTAGCAACAGCAATTCCTCCAGTCCCGCTTGCTGTTATTAACTGAATTCCCTCGGTGTTAGGCAAGGCAATTTCCTGCTGGCTGCCTGCAATCAAAGTCAGTGGAGAAGCCAGCAGGAAGTTGAAATCCCAGGCCAGCAGGCAGATAAGTGGAGGATGGAGGAAGGGATGTTTGAGAATGCAAGGGGGTTGGGGAGTGTGTGTGAGGGTGGAGGGGTGCATGAGTGACTGGCGTATCATAAGCATAGAGAGCTGAAGGAAGTTGTGCAACGGGGAAAGATTTACCCCAGCAATTTGCAATCTTCTCTATCAGTTTCTCCACTGACTTTCTGGGGAAGCCAGCAGGGAAGGCTGTAAAATGGCAAACATATGATTATGAGATGCTTGGCAACCAGTCATAAGTGTGAATTGGTTGCCAAGCATCCAGTGACAACTCATAAAATATTTCTGTGGTCTTTTAGAGTTGCCAACAGAAAGGGAGGGGAGAGCAGTGGTCAGCTTGCATTCCATAAATGGTTTCAAAGATAGTTTTTAGGTGACCGAAGTTTCTGCTGTGCAAAATTCTAACTGGAGAGCATGATTGATGACTCTTGGCTATGGATGTGTCCCATTGGAGAATATGAATTATGATACACCCAGGGGATGGGGGAAAACCAGGGTCAAGGGTGACAATGAATGATGTGTCTCAGAGTCGGCTACACCCAGGCAATGTCGCACCTTTTAACTCCCAATAAATCCTTTTGGAGTTTTGGAAATTTAGCTCGAGACTCATGATTTAAATGGGGTTAAGTGTTGGAATCCTGACATCCAGATCATGATCATGTGACCATGAGGACGCTAGGACAGCCAGAACTCTGAGAACTGTCTGCAACCACCATTCATTCAGCAACCGTTAGAACTTGGAACAGTCATGGATCAAATGGTTGTTAAGGACTACCTGTGTTTGTTTATTAGACATGAAACCATGGCTAAATCCAGGGTCAAGACTACAACAGAAAAGATGGTTGGAACCTTACCCTTCCCTGAATCCATTTTTAAAAAACATTCACCCCACTGTCTATGGAGATTCTCGGTTATCCAGGTCATGGTTATCCCAAAGGTGCTTTTTCAAGAGGCAACTGGACTTTCTTGTTTTTTTCTTTTGAAGATGTTTTGCTTCTCATCCAAGAAGCTTCTTCAGCTCTTACAGGATGGTGGGGAATAGAAGAATTTATACTCCTTGCAGACAGCTGGTCATTTGCATTCTTGCATCTTGCATTCTCACCACTCGCTAAAAGGATGCAAATGACCAGCTGTCTGCAAGGAGTATATAAATCCTTCCATTCCCCACCATCCAGTCAGAGCTAAAGAAGCTTCTTGGGTGAGAAGCAAAACGTCTTCAAAAGAAAAACCAGAAAGTCCAGTTGCCTCCTGAAAAAAGCACCTTTGGGATTCATTCTACTGGAATTGGGTCCTGCACAAGGCCTGAATC